ACAGAAATGAAGTTTGGCTCAACGTGAACGAAAGGTGAAGAAACGAGGTTCTGGACCAAGACTTTTGCACGGTTCTGTGGCAGCTTTAGGAAGCACCGTGAACAGATCTGTAACCTCGACGTGTCTGAAACGTGTTTTCACCTAATCTGGATTCCTCCTCGTTGCCCTCTGAGCCGGCTGAGAGCAGAGCCGCCCGGGAGCGGCTCGGTTCTGGGCCCGTCTGCGCGGCGCTGCTCTGCACATGTGTGATCAATCTGCGGCCTTACAGGACCTTCAGAGGAGCTGCAGGTTTAGGTAGCGCAAAGCGGTGACCCCTGACCTCTGCAGGGCGTTGTTAACGAGCACCAGGTGTAACGAGCTCCGCTGGACTTTCACAACTAAAATGAGCTCACGCTGAAAACTTTATCCTAAAACTGGAGTCGGGACAGGAGGTCCGGTTCTGAACGAGCAGAGCGATCATGTGATTACTGAGGCTCCAGGTGTGCAGCTCTGCTACGAGGCAGAGCTCAGTTTCAGCTTTCAGCTGCTGCACATCGGACTCAATTCCCACAATGCACCACAACGCGCGCATTAATGAGGAAAACGTGACAGCCGGGTTAAAAGACACGAGACGTTTGTCCTGGTGCCACTTCTGAGAGTCCAAACAATCGGATCAATTCTTTGGAGTGACTTTTTGTTCCTGTGCTGCCGACTGCGGAGGACGGTTCTGATAAGTTGCTTTATTTGTTCTGTTTGAGGCGTCTTCGTGCAGAGACGTGTCCTTGGACTCGGAGCGTGCGTGTGCTCAGAGGAATCCCAGTCCTCGGCCGTAACAAAGCAGACCAGGGAGGATGAGAAGCAGGCCTCCTGCCGGGTTAGGTAACTCGGAGGTCGTCGGCTCGTCAGCCGTGACTCGGACTAAAGATAACGTGAAACGCGTCACGGTCCGGGTGAATAATGCAGTTCAGCCTGGTTGGTTATTGAGAAACTTAGTTTGGTTTTAAAAAAACAACAAAAAAAGTTCAGTCTGGTCCTCTGGACGGGTTCACA